GACCGGGGCAGAGCTAGGCCGCTCACCTAAGTCAGTGAGCAAGAAGGTCAGCCAGCGGAGCTCCTGTGCCGCCATGGCACCAGCGTAGATCTCAGCCTCATAGCTCGACTGAGCAACAAACGACGAGCGAGTGGATCTCCAAGAGGTAGCACCCGAACCAAGGCTAAAACAGTAGCCCTGCGATGACCTGAGCGTCTCAGAGTCGTCTGCCCAAGAAGCATCTGTGTGCCCAGTGAGGACCACTGGCCTGCGTCCTCCTAACACTAACCCCAGGCTTGATGTACTTGCTAGATAACGCAAAACCCTCTTAGCGGCCGACCAGTGCTGTGGTCGGTGTCTGCCTGTGGCCACAAAGCGAGCCAAGATGCTGAGAGGGTATGCGAGATCTGGGCGAGTGCAGGTCATCACGTACATGAGGCAACCCACCAGCTCTGCGTAGGGGCCGCTGGGCTCTACTGGCTGCTCAGGAACAGGAGCGGAAAGCCCGTGGTCTACAGGTAGAGGTGTGGGCTGTGCAGAGGAGAACTGAAGACCGAACCTCTGAAGGACCTGACGCACCAAGTGTGACTGTGTCAGAGTGATGGTGTGTGCTGCTTTGTCCCTGGAGATCTGCAAGCCAAGGTAGCAACGCAGCTCTCCAAGGTCAGTGCAGGTGTGTCTCTTCAGCAGCTCGGCCTTCACAGAGGCCAGTGCGTCCCTGTCAGCAGTAGCAAAGACCAGATGGTCTATGTAGACAAGGTTGTAGAACGGAGTCTGGCCGGAGCGCACAAACAGCGAGGGGTCAGCGAACGACGGACAGAACTGCAGGTCTCCTAACGTGGCCCGCAGCGTGTCGTGCCACTTGCGCGGAGCCTAACGCAGGCCGTAGACCGGGCGCCTGAGAAGCCACTGGGTCCCAGGGGGGAAGGTACCAGTGAACCCCTGCGGTCAACACAGGTAGACCTGCACGTGTAGGCTGCCCTGAAGGAAAGCAGTAGAGAAGTCGAGGCAGTGAAGCTCGTAGTCGCGCTGTGCTGCTACGTGTAGCAGCGCCCGAGGAGTAGTCATCTTCGGGGTCGGGGCCAAGGTCTGGAAGAAGTCCACCCCCTCGCGCTGACTGAAGCCTCTGGCCACGTAGCGCGCCTTGAAGACAGGCGGCTCTCCAGGCGGGCGCTTCACCTTGAAGAGCCACCGACTATCGACTACGTTCACCTCAGGTGGGGGAACTGCGTCGACGTAGGTGCCGGTGGACCTCCAAGATGCCATCTCCTGCTCCATGGCAGCTATCCACTAAGAGGCCCACGGTCCCGAGGTGGCCTCAGCGTAGGTGCGAGGGGTCGGGATGTCAAGGGCGTCGGATCACCCTCAGGGACTAACAGCATGGAGCCTTGGAAAGGAAAGCAAGCTCGTACTGCCTGTCCTCTAGGACGTCACTGCCGAGGGCAGGAGCACCCCCGACGGACGGAGGACGGGCAGGGTCAGAGACCAGAGCAGTAGCGTAGTCAAGGCGCACGACAGGAAGAGCAGGGTTGGTAACGAGGGAGGCAAGAACCCGAGGGACAAGAGGACGAGCGGCACGGAGGTAGTCCGAGAACGGAGGAGGTGCAACAGCAAGCGACGAGGGAGGAGGGGAGGGAAGGAGGGGAGGACGAGCCGAGTGGGAACGGAGCAACATAGGGTGAGAGCGCAGAACAGGAGAGGCGGGACGGGCACGGGAGGGACGGCGGGACCAAACGTGGGACAAAGGGGTAGGATCAGGAGACAGCGGAGGGGACACAACAGGAGAACGAGGAGGAAGACGGGTCGGAGACGAGTCCGGCGGCGGGAAAACAAGACCGTAGACCGGAAGGTCAGCAGGCAGCGGGGGAGACACCGGCGAGTGGTCCGGGGAGGGAAGGTCGAGCAGGCGGAGAGCAGAGACCGGCGGTGACGGCTGCTGCGGCGGCAACGACGGCGGGGCCGGAACTCTCGGACCAGGAGAGGCAGAACGTTCGTCGGCAGAACACTCAACAGCAGCACCCCCAGAACCAACACCCCCAGAGCGAGAACCCTCTCCAACACCAGCGGCACCCCCAAAAGCCGCAGGACGAACACCCTCCTCCACACCAGCACCCCCAGGGGCCAAGAGCGGCCGCGGCAGTGGCGGCGACGACTGCGGCGGCGACGGCTGCAGCGGGGTCGGCGACTGCGACAATGGGGGCGGAGGCACCGGGGAAGGGGGACGCGACAAGGACAGACCGGGGGAACCACCAGCGTCAGCAGACTCCTCAACTGGGACAACCGACGGGAGGGGAGTGACGTGAGAGACACCAGATGGGGCAGGACGCGGCGGGAGAGGAGCAGGGGCTACCGGGGAGAGGGAGCGAGGAACAGGGGCAGGGCAACCGGGAGACCGCGGTGAGGGAAGTGGCGGTAGAAGGAGACAGACTCGTCAAAGGTGACGTCACGAGAGTGGAGGAAGCGGTGAGACGGCGGGTGGTAGAAAAGCCAGTCAGACGAGTCCAGGGGAAAACCGAGGAAGACACAGGGGACAGTGCGGGCAGTGAGCTTGTCCGTGCCAGAGGCACGAACGTGAGCAAGGCAGCCCCAGACGTGGAACGCAGACGCGTCACCGGGGGACCCGGTCCAAAGGAGGGTCGGCGAAACCTGCGGCCGCTGGGAGCGTGGCCACAGGTTAAGCTGGTGAGCAGCGTAGCGAACAGCGAACGGCCACAGAAAATGGGGGGCATCGGCATGGATCATGGAGGTACGAGCGACCTCCATGACCAAGCCGATGCGGCGCTCAGCAACCCCATTCTGCTGTGGCGAGTCCGGCAAGGTGTACGACTGGGTGATGCCCTCCGCACGACTGAACTGTCCAAGCCGACCAGAGGCGAACTCGCCGCCACGGTCAGAGTGGAGACACAACACGGGGAGACCGCGGTGGAGACGCGCAGCCACAACCCACGGGAGAAGAACGTCGGGCACGTCGGCCTTCCGCTCCAGGGGAAACACCGTGGTGTAGCGCGTGTAGTCGTCGACGAGCACAAGGAAGTAGCGCTCACCGCGCGGGCCGGGGACGGGGGCAGGGCCCCAAACGTCCAGGTGCAGGGTCTGAAGGGGGGCAGTAGCCGGACGCAGCGAGGAGGAGTGTGGGGCACGGCGGAGCCGGCCCTCGACGCAAGGCGTGCACAGTGGTGCAGTCGAGGGAGGATGGGCGGGGAGCGACGCAGGGAGACCTAAGACAAGTCCGTGCTGGGACATGTGACGCAGACGAGGGAGAGCAGGGTGACCTAAGCGGTGGTGCCAGAGAAGGGACGGGTGAGTGAGGGAACGACACGAGCAAGCTGCAGCAACTTGGGAGGACGCACCAACCGGGGGGGAAGCGGTGTCTAGGGTAAACAGACCGGACACCGGGTCGCGGGGGAACGTCGCAAGGGGGGAACCTGACACAGCCTCAGAACAGACAGCGAACCGCTCGTGCCCGGGGAACGTGGTGGTGACGCCGAGGTCCTGGAGACAGCCGACACCAATCAGGTTCCTCGAGAATGACGGAACATGGAGGCCTGTAAGGGAGCCCGAGGGAGCTGCTGGACAGGGAAGGGACGTAGAACTGCGAGCGACGACAGGACCCGCAGAGGGGTCAGCGAGAGAGACGACAGCTGGCGTAGCAAGCGGCGTGAGCGCGGAACGGTCGCGGAAGAAGCAGGCAGAAGCACCGGAGTCGAGAGTGAAGGACAGCGCCGCAGTGGCGGGGGCAGGGAACGGAGCCGGTGCAGAGACGAGGCTAGACAATCTAGGCAGTCCTACGCCTGACGCAGCAGGGGAGGCTAGGCTACACAGCGGTGCATCACCTAAACTAGAGAACACAGGATAATAAGATCCAGCAACACTAGCAGCGTCATAATACAAAGCATGCAAAGCAGCACCTATCTGATCCATGTCTAACTCAAAGATCGGCACGCCCTGGCGGAGCAGGCGGTGCCAGTCAGGGAGGTCCGGGGCCGGGCCAAAGCGACGACGAAACAGATTGTCGAGGCGGCGGAAACAGCGGGCAGTCGGGTGCGGGCAGCGGCACAGGGTGCCGCGAAGGGGCCCGGTCTGAAGCTGGTACTGACAGGTCACAGCACCGGAGCCACTGGTAGACGCCAAGCTGCGGGGGCCGCCACCACTGCCACCACCTCCGGAGGTGCCGGGCCAACCAGGCGGGAGGCGAGCCCACTGCTGCGGGGGCTGCGGCTGGGACGGCGGCTGCTGCTGGGACGGCGGCTGCGGCGCGGGCTGCTCCTGCTGCGGCTGGGGCTGCTGCTCCTAACCACCAATGCTAGTCCCCCCAGACGGACTACTCTCACGACCACCAACACCACTACCTGCGCCACCACCTCTACCATCCTGGCGACCACGGCCACTGCGGCGCGAGCGCTGCTGCGGGTGGACCGCGGGAGCCGTCTCAGTGAGGGGGGTTGCCGTGGCGGCCGCAGCCGAAACGTCAGTGAACGTGCACTGGGAGGGGGCACAGCCGTGAAAGATAGAGACTGCCGGCGCACCGCTCGACTGAGCGATAGTGCGCTGGCGAGTCTCGATCTCGGTGAGGGTGGCGCGACGGGGCCTAGGTGGGGGCGGCGCGACGGGGCCTAGGTGAACGCGCTACGGGGCCTAGGAGGCACGGGCGGAAGCGGTAGGTGGGGGGGGGTCGAACCTATGGGTGATACCATGTTAGAAAGAAAATTGAACAAGTGTTGAATTGGAGAGAGAGAGAACAAGGGTATATACCTAAGAGTGTTGTACCCTCTAAGAGGTGACCCTATACAGTCTATACAAATATATGTTCTATATATGTTTGACAAATTCCTTACAGTCATTGATAAAAGTAACACTATGCTATGCTACGTCCAACCATTGCGATGTGTAGCCGAAGTAACACTACTACATACGACCATTGTGATGTGTGTGTGATCATGTGCTCATGAAGTCCACGACCACAAACTAAACTAATGAGCTGCAGTGGACCATGCGAGACAATGCTGTGCTTTCCTACAATACGTTTGTTAGTAAAATGCTGTACAATACTAATATTTGTACAATGCTCTACACTCCTAGCTGCGCAGGTTTGTAATACAATGCTGTACACCCCTATGGTATGTACATCAGCATGCACAATGCCGTGGTGGACTAAGGGAGCGAGACGTGTGAAGCCAGGCCAGCTGTAGCCGTGCGCAAGGCTGCCACTGTAGACGCGAGCTGCTCTAGTGCCAGATTCCGGACAAGGCATGTCTGAGCTACAGCACCGGTAGCTCCAACAGCCGACCCACCCACACCCCCGACTCCGCTGTACCTGCCCCTATCCCTCCAATTTCTACTGGTAGCAGCACCTACACCGATATCCCATCCTCTGTGGCTCACAGTGTGGCCCTGGGGAGGGCTGCCTGGCATTCTAGCCCGCCCTGTGGCAAAGAGAGGAGGAGTGCTTGGTGGACGTGCAAAAGAGTGTAGCAGAGCAACAGCCCCTGCTCCTGACGCCCCAGCAAACGGTGCCCCTGCTTCCCCCCCTGCTGCTGTGCCTGTTCCCCACTCGGCTGCTGACCCAGTCACCTCATATGCGGCTGTTCCAGTGACCCTCTCTGCTGCAGCCTTGGCACTGGTTTGGCTTTCAGATGCCATGGGTGGCACGGCCATGGGGTCTCTGCACATGGGGCAGCACACTGATGCTGCAGACGATGCCATGGCACTGGCAGGAGCCGCAGTACCAGCCGCAGTATCAGCCACCGCCGCTCCCGCCGCACCAGCAGAAGTGGCAGCAGCAGCAACCGTGGAGTTGGTCCCAACACTAAGGCCCGCACCACCACCCGTGGGTTCGGATGTCACGCAGGATTGGTGGGCTAGATGGGAGATGCAGGCAGAGCAGATCACGTGTCCCCTGTGGCACTGCGACATGGGGGGAGGGGGATAGCAAACGGGATGACAGGGGGAAAAAGTTAAAATAAACGAGTAGACAGGACGTGTGCGGAGTCAGCAAGGGGACTAGGAGCAGACGGGCAGAGGACAGGGGGAGAAAGGGGACAGACTAGGGGGTCAGACTAGGGGGTGACAGACTAGGGGTCAGATGGAGTGAAAAACGCCAAATGGTGACTAAGATGTCATTTCCCCATCGCCCCAGTACTGTACAGTGTACACAGATAGCACCAGAAGATCGCACATGACACTATCTTGGCCATGAGTAATTATCACACATCACACAGACTATCTACCTGGTAGATGGGAGCAGACAGCCCCATGCAGCACACAGGGCACTCCAGGAGCTCATCCACTGCCGCCCACAGCTGTTCCCCTGCTGACTCGGCCACCTCAACCAACTCGCCCGCCGCCACGTCAGCACAGGCTCGCCCGTGGCTCCACGTGTCGTCTGGCCAGTCTTTGCTGTCGTCTCTCGTGAGGCATGTGTCATCTTTGTGACACCTGGTGTCATCTCCCTGGCACTCACCACCATCCACATCTCCATCTCCACCTCTAACCGCTCCCTCCTCCGCCTCTCCCACACCCTCCACCGCTGTCCTCTGCTTATCTCCGCCCGCCGCTGCTGGCTGGAAACCACCTGGAAGCGCGAGACTCGCAGTCTTACCCCCTGCTGCCCCCTCACCGGCCTTGTCCTCTCGTGGCCTCCCCACTCCCCTGCCGCACCGCACCAAGCCCAAGCCTGGGCCCACTCCCCACTGCCCCCCCCACTCTCCAGCCCTCCCCACTCCCCTGGCGCATTCACCGGCCTTGTCCTCTCGTGGCCTCCCCACTCCCCTGCCGCACCGCACCAAGCCCAAGCCCCTGCCGCTTCTCTTCCACCCCTGAAACCCCCTCGCGCGCAGGCTAGGGTCGGATGGTCTTGCTGCGAGGCTGTGCCTCGGGCCCAATGCCCCTGTTGCTCCCTCTGCTCCCTCTGCTCCCTCTGCTCTTTCTCGCGCATGGACGGCTGGCTCTGCTGACTTTGCAACCGTTCCCTGTGCGTCCGCACACCAATCACCTCGAGCGGAGGTATTACCTCGAGCGGAGGTATCACCTCGAGCGGAGGTATCACCTCGAGCGGAGCTATCAGCTCGAGCGGAGCTATCAGCTCGGGCGGAGGTATCAGCTCGGGCGGAGGTATCAGCTCGGGCGGAGGTATCAGCTCGGGCGGAGCTATGAGCTCGGGGGGAGGTATCACCTCGAGGGCACTGCTCTGCCCCCTGTGCCGCACGCAAGTCACCTGCTGCCGTCCCCTCCTCAACTCCTGCCGTCCCCTCCCCACCAACCCCCCCACCCGCACCTGCTGCTCTCCCCTCCGCAACCACTCCCCGCTCCAGCCCCCCAACCTCCTCCCCACCCGCTCCTCCTCCCCCCCTTCCTCGTGCTCCCGCAGCTGCTTCTCCCCGAAGCTCCCCGGTATTCCCGACTCCCCCCCTGTATTCCACAGCGGGAGGCCCACAGCCACCAGCGGGGGGGTGCGCACAGCTCCCAGCGGGAGGGGAGGCGCAGCCATCAGCGCGGGGGTGCGCGCAGCCACCAGTGGAAGGGTGCGCGCAGCCCCCAGCAGAGCCGTCTCTTTCTTCCGACCTCGCGAGGCTCGCGAGAGGGCCACCAAGTCCAGCGGAGCCTTCCACGTCAGCTCGAACAGAGTCCGGCGTGGAGCGGTCTGGTTGCGTGTGACGGAGGGCATCCGAGCCCCTGCTATCGTTGGCGTTATCCTCGTTACTATCATTCCCCGCTAAGACATCGGCTCTAGCATCATCGTCACTGTCGCCTTCCTCCTGATCCAAGAGAGGGAGAAAGAAGCGCACCATCGCGCCGTCGACCAGCGCTCGACAGCACAGGAAAGCGGAGGCAAGGTGAAAGCTAGTCGCACAGTCGGCCAGTGCTCGACAGCTGCAGGCACGGAGCCAAGGTGAAAGGTGCTAGCTACTAGCTCTAGTGGAATGGAACAGCTCTATATGCCTTCATGAGCGCTCTTCCTCAACCATGGGCCACTTCCATAAGAGTCCTCCCTGGCGATAAAAACGCGTTACTGAGTTCCTCTAATACTCGCAAGGATAGGTTGGAAACGTAAACAATAATACCTAAACATGGGTGGAAAGGACCTAGTGAATGTATGCAGGTTCACTCACATGACTTGTGTGTGATGTGACTGCCGTTGGTGACCCACAACACGTCAGCTCACGTCTATCGCACGTCATTGGATAGGACAGGGGACAGGTTGCCCTGGTGTCACGTGACCGGATTGGTTGGTCAGATTTGGATGACAATAGCGAGGATTTAGAGGCTGGCTGAAGGTTTCGCTTTTACTATTGCCAAGCCAAGAAAGGAACGAAAACGATGAAGCAAAAGCCATAGATATGCATTATTGGGAAAGATTACGACAGACTAGACATGCAATGAACCTATGACACATTATTGAACAAAATTGAGAGAAAAGGGAGAGGCCAACTTGACAAGGCCACCTAAAAAAACAGACACAATTGCCTGGTGGAAAATGAATGATGGGGGATGAATGAAATCAATACAGTCGTCTGCTCAAACCAGGCAGGGGGTCAACAGCGGAAGTGCGAAGAGCAAAAATGAGTGCACGGTCAAGGACGCAGCACCACCCAGTCACCCAGTCACTCGCTTGACATGCCACTGCCACTGGAATCCGCCTCTCCAGCCGACGAGTGAAGCTTCAGCAGCAGCAGCAGCACCACACACACCACCACTGAAGTACACACAACCACAGCCACCACCTGCAGAGCTGTCAAGCCCGCATCACCAGAGCCACTAGCCCATGACACCCCACTAGCATTACTGTTGCTGCTGCAAGTGCTAGCACTACCACCACCACCACCACCACCAGTGCCGCTGCCAGTAACACCGGAGCTGCTGCCACCGAGCAACGGGCGGCGACGCTTGACTGATAGCTGCCAGCCGACCACACGTCGGTGGGCTTCTTCGTCGTCTTCCTCGGTCATGGGAGGAGGGGCGGGGGAGGAGGCCACCGGCCAGAAGGAGTTGAAGCGGCGGAAGCGACTGCTGCTGCTGCAGCCGTTGGTGGTTGCATTGTTGGTGGTGGCATTGCAGGCATTGAAATGAGCAAGGCCCTGTGGAGAGGGAGGGGAGATGCGAAGTGAAGAGTGAGCGCGAAAGGCCACCAAGTCGGAACAAATAAGGGAGATCCTTCCAGGGAGCCAGAACAAGGAGAGATTGTGCGGAAGTATTTGAACACATGGCAGAGCATTTACGATATGCTTTCAAGGTGCGGTACAAGCACTCACCAGTTCAAGGTCAGCCACAGTGAGACACGACAAGCTCCCCAGCTTCAACTCTGGCCCTGCGGCAGCTCCTCCTCTCCCTACTCCTCCTCCCACTCTGCTGTCTCCTGCTCCTCCAACGCCCCCACCATCACTGCCACAGTGGTGCCCGTCGTGGCAGCACGTGTGCTTCTCCCCCCGCGCCTGCACGTGGCTCTGCTCCCCCAAGCTTCCCCGCTCCACCCCCTGCTGTAGCTGCTGTAGCAGGAACGCCACCCACTGAAAGGCACCACGCTGGGGCGGGCGAGGCAGCGCAGTGGAGTGAGGCAATAGGGGATGGCGTGTGGAAGGGGAGAGTGGCTGTTCATCCTGGCTGCGCGGCTGTGGCGCCTCACGTGCTAGAGGGTTCAGTATAGGGCCTGACAATGGGTGGATTACTGGTGGCTGCATGGGTGGGAGGGCGGAATGTGGCAATGCTGAATAATCCGCTGCTTCTGCCCCTGCTGCCCCTGCTACTGATGCTGCCCCTGCTGCCACCAGGGCAGGGCCGGGAAGGGAAGAAAACGAGGCACCTCCTTTTCGCCGACCGACACCTGTTCCTGCTGACGCGTCTCTGGCCACGCACGCTCTCACTGCTGCCTGGCTCTCTGCCCTAAGCTGCGCCACACATGCTCTCCCTCTCGCCGTGGCCCCACTCACATCGTCCCTCTCCCCCTCACTCTCCGACAGGTAATCTACACACCTCTTCCCGACGCATGCTGCATCCTCCTCCTCCTCCTCCTCGCCCTCGCCTTGACCATCCCCCCCTCCCACTCGGCTGCCTTGCATCCACCTGCCTGCGACTGACACTGCGGATGTCGGCGTGCTACCAGGATGTAACCATTGCGACAAGTAAGCAGGCATGGCAGCGAAACCGCCGCCACCAGTAGCACTCCCCGCAGCTGCAGCCGCTGGGGTTGTCCCCATGCCTGCTCGAGCTTCGCCCCCACCTGCTCTGCTCCCATTCACGGGCTGTTCTCTCGCTGCCCTTTCATCCCACGCAAACGCTCCCGCGTGCTGCTGCTGCTGCTGCTGCCGCCACTGCCCTTGCCCCTGACACGGTTCGTAACGCGTTCTCCCTTCGCTCCTGACAGTCTCTACGTGCGAGACCCACGCTGGCCCCACGTAAGCTGCCTTACTGTCGCTCTGGGCTGGAGCTGCTGCTGCCAGATGCGCATTTCCCTTACATTCACGCCCTCTATAATCACCTGCCCCTCGCCAGCTGCTCGTTACAGGTGCATCTGGTTTCCGTATAGCGAGCGGGCGTAGCTGCAGCTCTTGCGGGGAGATGACGGAGGGCGGAGGGGGGGAAGGCGCGGAAAGGAAACTAACTAAGTGGTCTGATGTGACCTGGTCCCTACTGCTGCTGCTGCCGCCGGTGCTGCTGCTGCTGCTACAACCAGCTTTCGTCTGGCCGCTGCTGCTGGTAGTGCGGGTGCTTGCTCCAGCAGCGCGTGACACAGAGCCGAAGAAACTCGAGGACAACGAGGAAAGAAGCAGCGACGGTTGCGACGAACGCGACGAATCCGCAGCGGAATGGCTCCCTGATGCGCCTACATTCGCGGCGGAAGGAGCAGCGCCGGATGGGGGGAAACCCGCCGGTCGCGGCGGACGAGCGATTTCCCCGGGCGGGGACGAGCGGCGGACGGCGGACTCCACCTGCGCGAGCTGCGCGCGGATGGCGGAGATGAATTGCTGCCTCCGCGCCTGCGCCTCCTGCGGTCGCCCCCCGCTCGCCCGCTCCGGGCGGCGGAGAGAAGAGGCGGAAGAAGCGGCATCGCGGAACACAGCGCGCTCAAATTCCTCGAGCTGCTCGGGGGGGGAAAGGGGAGAGGGGGGGCGGGAACAGGCGGTTGGTCGGAAGGGGGATAGTAAGGAACAAGCGGCGCGAAAGGCAGCCTCGCGGGGCACAGCGCGCTCAAACTCCCAGACTCCTCGAGCTGCTCGGGGGCGTTGCGGCGGGAGGAAGCGACGAAGAAATAAGGATGAAACGGGAGGTGAGGATGAAACGGGAGGTGAGGATGAAACGGGAGGTAAGGATGAAACGGGAGGTGAGGATGAAACGGGAGGTAAGGATGAAACGGGAGGTAAGGATGAAACGGGAGGTGAGGATGAAACGGGAGGTGAGGATGAACCGGGAGGTGAGGATGAAACGGGAGGTAAGGATGAAACGGGAGGTAAGGATGAAACGGGAGAACGCGGCATTGCCTGACCGAAAGCCAGAGGGGAAAGCGCGCGAGGAACCACATAACGCTGTAAAACACAAGGTCGGTCGGTGCGATACAGGCCAAATCCCCGCTAATAGCGCGCACCTGCGAGGAACCACACGACGCTGTAAAACACGAGGTCGGTGCGATAGAGGCCAAATCCCCTCTAATAGCTCGCACCTGCGAGGAACCACATGTCCTGGATATACGAAGGTTGCTGCACGTCTAGGGCCTCGCCTGCCATTTCAGGGTATCGCACGCGGACACGAGCACGAGCCTGACGACGATAGTTCGGTTTTGAGACGTCTCAATTACGTACCTGCCATTTCAGGGTGTCGCATGCAGATACGAGCACGAGCCTGACGATGATAGTTCGGTTTTGAGATGTCTCAAATACGTACCTGCCATTTCAGGGTGTCGCATGCAGACACGAGCACGAGCCTCACCCCCTCCTCGTCCACCCTCGCCGATCCGGATCCTGACCATGCCGCGTCTGCTGCCGCCAGCTGCTGCCATTGGTGGAAGCTGGACCGCAACCTGCACGAGTTTCGAGGTGGTAACAAAAGACAGTCAGTTTCGCCAAAACATGCGCTGAAGAGAGAGTCAGGTCGTGACCATGCGGCGTCTGCTGCTGCCATTGGTGGAAACTGGACCGCAACCTGCAAGGGTGTCTCGGTAGAAACGGGAAAGAGGAGCCGCTTTAGCCCAAGGGCCGATAGGTCCACCTTTTCTTAACTCCTTTATTTCTTTTCTTAGAACGGAGAATCAAAGGTCGAATGACTACTTGCATTCGAGAAATGAACAGACTAACGCAGTACAGATTCAGGTCCAATGTGATAGGTGGTCCCAAGGAAAGCTAGTCAGGCCAGGTATGCAACGGAGGCTCGAAGAGGCTCGACCAGTGTACCTGTCAGCAACCGACCAGTAGTCCTGCACCTCCTCCGCTGCCGCAATGACTGTATGAGTCGACTCTAAAGTCACCTTGCAACCTAGCTCGATCAGCGTACCTGTCGGCTGAGTCCTGCACCTCCTCCGCTGCCGGGAAGAGCGGGTCCGCCTGCCAGCTGCTCAGCGTGGCCATGCGGATAAGGTTATAGCGATGGGTCTCCTAAGCTCGCTACAAAGCGCTTTATCGTGTGCTCACTACGAGAAGACGATCGCCGTGAGAGCAGTTTGTGACAAGTAGATCGCTCCCACCTTCTAGATCAGACCTAGAGCGATACCGCTGTGTCAGCGAACGACGTAACCGATCGTATGCCAGGGTACAATAGAGAACGACACAAGGAGCCCAGCGTTTAGAAACCTAAGGAAGTCGGAAACACGTCTGAGAACAGGCGGACAGAAAATCTCCATGAGCCACTCAACTGGTCACGTGTTCCATAATGGAAGTCAAGCCGAGCTGGACCACCATCCATGGTTGTTCAGGTTGAAGCTTGGAGCTTGGTTTGGTTGGAGTTTTCGAGGTGCTCCTCTCTGCTCAACACGGTGCAGTGCGGTTCAGTGCAGTGCGGTGTTCGAGAAGGTTGGGTTGCGGCAGCAGTTACGGTGGAGAATTGCATTACTGTACAGTCCATGGGGAACTGATCCGTGCGTGGGGCTGTGTATGGATGGGGTGACTCTCTCCACCAGCCTTCATGGCGAAAGTAGGAAGCCAGTGTTACATGCTACAAAACTCGTGCTCCGTCGCTATTCATTTCGCAACGAATGGATGATCCGAGAGAGAACCACTGGCGGTTGACACGGCCACGTTTCCGCGTGGTGAGAAGCTGAGGCTTGTAACAGCCGAGGTCTGCGGCTGTCGCCACTGCTTCGCGCACTAACCCGAACTGTGGCAGTAACAGGCACGGCCTGCGGTTTGTAGAAGAACACGGCATAATGAAAACAACACGGATATCCACCCTGTAAAGAAGCTTCAGGTGGTGTGTCTGTGCAAAGATCAATAGTTTGTACTTTCCATGTGCTAGGTAGCCATCACAATTACCATCTATACCATCTTATGATTTTCCTGGCTCCATGCATATTGTACACCAACAGAGTCATTTCCGTCAGATTTAGTTTGCCTCTAATCTTGCCAACAATGGGATACTTGAGCCTTGGGCCAAATCATGCTTTTCAAACATGGTTATCATAATGTAATGAGTTGGCAAACACGGTATGTTTTTAGCTGCATTCCCAGGATTATGGCTGTTATTGCCGATTTCAGAATTCAGCGTAAAGCGAGGTCGAGGGGGCATTGCTGTGACATGGCATGCTGGCAAGATCGCCCGATGGTTCGTGCTTCGCCAGGCTCTGGAAACACGGAGGATTCCGGAACTACTATGTTCCTGAGCCTGAAAGACATTCTTAGGAGCAATAGTTATTAGAGACTGGACTAGTGATTGCCAGCAGACTTGGTAAGACCGGACTCGTCTCTGACACGCGCACGATTTGCTACGGCCTACCCCGAGGGTGCTCGAGTGCACTATCCTGCTCGAATGCGTCTTTCGTCGTAGCTGCGGTGTTATTTCCCAGCCGATCCTCGCGTGTTCGCTGCGTAGGCCCGCACCGCGTGAGCTTAACCAATGCGCTGGTAAAGTAGAATCCGGTTGTGCTTCACTCCCTTGTAAGCAGTCACATCGTATCCACCAGCATTCGTTTCTGTCCCCCCGTAGCCGCGCTGCCCTGCTCCGACTGCGAGCTTCAGTCCTTCAAGCCATGGTTACTTCTTTCTCCTGATTGACCGACTAGACGCTGATCCGAGGTTCAATCTCATAGCTATTCGACACGCGGTGCAGTCCTTGATTTTGCATGGTGTTCCACAGAATTCTCGAAAGCACCTTGAGGCTATAGCACCCTTTATTGACCGGTAAAAGCTGTTTTGAGGTGTTCCGGCGACTCTGTCGCTCTGTCTCTGACGCTACACGCACCCTCCCTCTGCCGAGCGCTGAGACACTGCTCTGACATCCAGTATCACAAGCTCTCACCCCTGGGCCTGCACCATTCAGGCATTCAGGCCACATGCACCCTCTACTGACCGTTGAGAAGCACCCCAAATGCGCTGAGGTGAGACATGGCTGTTCATCTAGCTGGCATTATTATTTATGCTAAGGAGTATTTGATTGGATTGACACGCAGAAGCGATGTTTCGTTGTCCACTTAAAGCCCTGTTCTGTCACCTGTGAGTGCAGCTGATCGAGAAGCTGAAGCGATGCCACGAGGAGCACCCTATCGCCAAGTTCTGGAACGTCTGCAGCGGCATTAAGGTGGAGCTGGACGCGTGCTTCAGACAAGAGGTACTCATGGGTGTGCGTGGCAGAGATAATGGGTGTGCGTGGCAGAGGTGACACACTGCCTGGCGATCATTGGTGATCATTGATGATCATTGGTGATCATTGACGATCATTGGTGATCATTGTGATCATTGGTGATCATAGGTGATCATTGGTGATCGTTGGTGATCGTTGGTGATCGTTGGTGATCGTTGGTGATCGTTGGTGATCGTTGGTGATCGTTGGTGATCGTTGGTGATCGTTGGTGATCGTTGGTGGTCGTTGGTGATCGTTGGTGATCGTTGGTGATCGTTGGTGGTCGTTGGTGGTCGTTGGTGATCGTTGGTGATCGTTGGTGATCGTTGGTGATCGTTGGTGATCGTTGGTGATCGTTGGTGATCGTTGGTGGTCGTTGGTGGTCGTTGGTGGTCGTTGGTGGTCGTTGGTGGTCGTTGGTGGTCGTTGGTGGTCGTTGGTGGTCGTTGGTGATCGTTGGTGATCGTTGGTGGTCGTTGGTGATCGTTGGTGATCGTTGGTGATCGTTGGTGATCGTTGGTGATCGTTGGTGATCGTTGGTGATCGTTGGTGATCGTTGGTGGTCGTTGGTGGTCGTTGGTGGTCGTTGGTGGTCGTTGGTGATCGTTGGTGATCGTTGGTGATCGTTGGTAATCATATTCGTTTGCTCTGGACTGTCTGCAGCGGTATTAAGGTGGAGGTGGGCGCGTGCTTCAGACAAGAGGTACTCATGGGTGTGCATGCGGGTACTGCAATGATGGGTACCGCTTGGCTCACAGATGGTGCACTGTGTGGTGAGGAACGCGTGCAGCGGTGTTAAGGCGGAGCTGGAGGCGTGCAGCAGACAAGAGGTACTGATGGTTGTGCGTGGCAGAGGTGACATACGTGCCAGGTGATCATTGGTGTTTGTTCTGGAACGTCTGCAGCGGCGTTCAGGTGGATCTGGATTCTGGACGCGTGCGTTAGGCATGAGGTGTCATGAGCATCATCTGTGTAAGGAACAAGTCATTTGGGGTGCACGTCCCGTGTGCACAGTGAGTGCAGCAGGAGCAACCTCGCTGCGACGAAGGAGCAGCGCAGCGCAGAGCAGAGCAGAGAATGAGAATGTCATGGCGAACAGAGAATTCAGGGAGAGGGGTGATGTCACCGTGCTCGGCTGCACTTGGCTCATCTGTGCGTCCTACCTCTTCTCACGCTGCCCCTCATCTCTCTCGTGCTGCCCCTCATCTCTCTCGTGCTGCCCCTCATCTCTCTCGTGCTGCCCCTCATCTCTCTCGTGCTGCCCCTCATCTCTCTCACGCTGTCCCTCTCCTTCTGAGTGCAGAAGGTGGAGCGCAGAACGGTGAATCTGAGGGCGAGCAAGGAGTTCAGAGAGAAGCTGAGGGAGCAGAAGGCAGCAGATGAGGCGGCAGGTGTGCCCAGATGGACCGAAACGCTGAGACAGGAGGGAAAGAACCAAGGATGAGCCAAGATATTTTGAAGATATGGTAGATGAGGCAGGCAATCACCAGTGTGGAATGTCCAGATTTCCTTTTCCACTAGTGGTGCTTCGCATGCGGTACCCGACCCGCATGCCCGTTGTTGGGCTGAGAAATAGCCCTTAGGATCTTTCCAGAGACTAAGTCCAGTTGTAAAAGAGACTTGAGTAGTGCAGCGGAAGTTGAGTAGTTGAGCCCTTGTACTAGTATGTAAGAACAAGTGATCGATTAAAAGAACAAGCATACAGCAATATATAGAAAGTAGGAAAGTAAAGCAGTTGTAGAATACAGTTGAAGAGCGGTTGTCGAGTCGCACAGCGACTCGATTGTTGCTTCGGTTACCATTCTTGCAGTTGTAACGGTCAGTCGCAACCTCCGGTTGTGACCCTTCGAGTCCTTTCGTGTTCTTTGTCCATCCCCTCATGTAGGTAACCTCCGTTGACTCGTGTACCTGTTACGATCTTCCTCGAGTGTGGTGTTTATACCGTACTTCAGAAACGCTTAAGTCCTCGAGATATTTCCAACACTCCCCTTCGTTTCTGGAGTGCTGCCGTGTCCGGATTCGGTGACGTTTGTCTGCCCGGTCAGTAGCATGCAGTAATCGAACTTTGCTTTCGCCAGTTTCTTCGTCAGGTAGTCTGGAGCCATTTCTGTCGTGGGGCAGTAACTGAGTTGAAGTCTCCCCTTCGCGATTTCATCTTTGACGAAGAAATACCGCAGGGCGATGTGCTTGGTTCGGTTGGCGAAACCGTCCTTGTTCGCGATTTTGATCGCAGATTGGTTGTCGCAGAGGAGTGAGAAGACGGGCAGGGTCGCAATCCTTGCTTCCTCGAGTAACTCTCGCAGGTAAAGTCCTTCCTTGGTCGCAGTGCAGAGGGCAATATATTCTGCTTCAGCCGAAGATAGTGCGATTAGTTCCTGTTTGCTCGACTGCCAGGAGATAGTCCCGATAGGCTCTAGTCGGTAGATGTAGCCCGTCCTTGAGCGTCGATTTTCCTTGTCTCCCGCGTGGTCGGCGTCGACGTATCCGAGTAGTTGTACGGACGATGCCGTTACTTTACTTAAGGTAAGTCCGGTCGTCGGCGTAGAGACGAAGTAGAGTAGTGCCCGATTTAGTTCCTCAAGATCTTCTTCTTCCGGCTGCTTCAGATGCGTCGCCAGTTGGCTCGCGCTGTAAGATAAGGTCAGGTCGGTAGGTTACTGCTGCGAATAGTAGGCAGCCGAGCTTCTGCTGATACTCTTGGATTTGCTTCGCGGGGAGTTTTGCATAGGTGTCGTTGTTGTTCCCGTAGCGGTAGGGAGTCGTGACTGTAGTCGGTGTTAGTCCGAATTTCTTCGCGACAACGCCTGCGTATTTTCCAGCATATAGGTAGAACGCCGAGTTGTCTTCGACGACGTTCAGACCCAGGTACTGGGTCACGGTGTCAGACACCGTGAGTGTCAAGTCACTTCTCAGCTCCCCTTCGAACCAGGTGGCGATGTCGGTAGTGGAGCCGATGTAGAGCAGGTCGTCGACGTAGACGATGAGTAGGATAAAGTCCCTTTCCTTCTGTAGTCGGTACATGCCTTGGTCGTGCGGCAGCTGTAGGAACCCGATTCTGACGAGGCGACCGTGAAGATGCTGCTGCCAAAGCCGCGGAGCTTGCTTGACCCCGTAGAGGGATTTTATCAGCTGGCATACTTTTGTGGGGTCGTCGATGAATCCGTGGGGCTGCTCGATGAAGATCTCGGTGTCCACAAGTGCGTACAGGAAGGCGTTTGCGACGTCGATCTGGCGCAGTGGTAGTTTCTTCATGGCCGCGACGGCGAGTAGAATGCGCAAGGAGGTGTGACGGGAGACTGGGGCGAATGTTTCTGTGTAGTCGGTTCCGTATCGTTGATCGAATCCTCGTACGACCCAGCAAGCCTTGAATCGTTCGATGGAGCCGTCTGCATTCGTCTTGATGCGGTACACCCACTTTCCCGAGAGTACGTTATTCCCGTTGATGTTCGTTGCAGGTACCAGCTTCCATGTATTTCGGTCTTGCAGAGCTTTCAGTTCCTTTTCCATTGCCTCCTTCCAATTCGCCTTATGTTCCCCCCTAAGAGCCTGCGACAGAGTCGTTGGCTCGCGCGGAGACGGCGGCGGCGGGTGCTGGACGGAGACCCATAGGCCGAGTATCTGCAGTCCCGTGGGTGTGTGTCGAGGGGAATTTTCATTCCCGGAATAAGCTGCTTCGTCACCATCTTCTGGATCAGGTAAGAAGTTTGGGCCGATGCATTCTGAGACATTCGTGTCGACCGGGTGAGGTGTAACGTAACCTTGGTCAGCGAAGTAGTAAAGGGTGTCGAGGTTGGTGCTATCGAGAGGATTGTCGTCGTCGAGTGGAACAGGCACGGAACAGTAAGGGAGAGGTCCGGCAGCTTCCGAAGCTCCAAGTATGTCTTTTCTGCTGCGTCAGCCTTGGCAGCAAGGTCGGCGAAGGAGCGAAGGCCCGCAAAGCCGTCGGTGGGGTCGTCTGTGTTGGCGACGTTGTCCAGGTAATGCTGCAGCGTCAGTCGTTCGTAGAAAATTACATCACGTGATGCCACGGTATTTTTGTCTTGTATGTCGAGGAGTTTCCATGCTTGGTAATGTTTGGCGATGCCGAGGTGTAGTTCCCACCGTGCTCGTTGAGTGAATCGTCCTGCTCGGGCTGTGTGGGGTCTGTATTGTACCATGCAGCCGAAAACCCGAAGTAATTTTGTGCTGCCCCTTTTTCGTGTCCACAGCAGGTGCGGTGATGCGTTGTTGGGAAGCGAGGACGAGGATAATAAATTGTGCAGGTGGACTGCATGGGTCATCGCATCTGGCCACAGTGTGTTGGGCAGTCTCATCCCCAGGAGCAGCTTCCGCATCGTCGTCTGCAAGGTCCGGTTCATTCTTTCTGCGACCCCCTACTGCTGGTGAGCGTAGGGTAGAGACACCAGGCGTCTAATTCCTCTTTCTGCCAAGTAGTTCCTGATCATTGTAACTGGTATTCCAGTGCGCCGTCTGACAGGAAGCTTTTGAGCTTAGTTCCTGATTCTCGTTTAGCGATGGGGAGCCACGTCGTGAAGGCTTCGAAAGCTTGATCACGTGTCTTGAGGTTGTAGTGCCATACATATCTTGTTGCTGCATCGATGAACGTGATGACATAGTTGAAGTCGGCTTCAGTGTCGTCTCGAGGCATGTTTAAGATGTCGCTGTAAACTTTTTCCATCGGTGCGTATGCAGGTGCGCTTGGGTTGTGATGTGATGGAAAAGGTTGGTGGGGAACATCGGCTTCGGGGCACGTGAAGCACCGTGCGCATGGTCGTCGAAGTTCTTGGCCGCTCATTGTAAGAAGAGCGTTTTGTTCTAACACTTCGGCTTGGATGGTTTGTAGTACTGTGCTGTTTGTAGGGTGCCCGAGGCGTTGGTGCCAGATGTCGTCGGGAGCGCGATGGCCGGGCGAGCGTTGGTACATGTCGGTGTTGGAGAAGAACGCGACGACCGTGGCGGGACTTCGGCAGACTTCTCGTGTGATTGGCATAAGTTGATCTGCTTCGGTTGGCGGTCCTCGGATTGCTGGTGATGGTACTCGGCTGGGTCCCGCTGCTGTTACTTCAGGTGATGTCGAGGAAGGGACGCTTGCTGGTACTTGTCTTTCTTGTCGAATGACTGCTAACGCTCGTGTTCTCTCTGCTGCAGGTATGGTGTTGGAGTACCAGAAACCATCTGGGGTGAAGTCAGGATCGAGATCCAGGGGGTGCGTCCATGCGGCGAACGACACGATGCCATCGCTGTCGGCAGTACCGCGGTCGGGGACGAAATCCAACACGAAGACGCCCGACTTCAGGAGAGCGCGACCGATGAAAAGACCGCCCTTCCCGTGGTAAAGGCGAAATTCGTTGGAGTCTGAGTCGCATTCCAGGTGAATCCCTTTTGCCATTAACTGACTGACGCTGAGTAAGTTGTATCCCAAGTTGTCGACGATGAGAACTTTGTTGAGTTGCAGTATAACGTTTGTCTCCATGGACTGCAACTGAACCACTCCTTGTCTGTTTGTTTTCAGGTTCTCGTTGTTGGCGACGGTGATGATGACATCGCGGTTGAGGCGTCGCTCCCGCTGCACGAAGCGCCTGGAAGAACACATGTGTTGGCCGCAGCAGCTCTCCAAGAACCAAGTGTTTCGCCCGGTGGGTTCGGCGTTGGCGACTGCAGCGTACGTTGGGTTGACCTGAAGTTCTTGTGAGCGCGGCGGCGACATTTCTTCTTTGTCTGGAGCATAAGTGGGTGGTGATCCGGGTGCGCAGTTGTCCATGTGTACCATGCAATTGATGATGTTCGGTGTGCCTTGTGCAGATGAGGAACGCCTCGGCGGGCTTTCTTGAGTGGAAGCGACGTGCGGGTCTACTGGTCGATAAGCTCGAGGGCGTGTGCAGTTGACTTTGGAGTGTCCGGATGTCTGACAATTGTGGCAGAACGGCAGCATAATGGTGAGTCCTCTGTTGTCACATTGATCTTGATTGCCGCGCCGGTTGTAGTTGTTGTCGTTCCTTCGTTGAGTGTAGAAAACTAACGGTTGCTGTTTCCTTGGTTGTCTTTCTTCAAATAGGTCCATCTCCTGTTGTTCAGCATGGAGCTCGGCGCAGAGGTGCATCTCCGAGATTCGTCCGTGGGCGCGAAGAAGCGAGCAGGTGGTTCTCCATTCTGGCCCGAGCCCGGCGAGGACAAGCGTCACGAAGCTTTCTTCAGTGATAGTTCCTCCGCACCGAAGCAGGCGGCCGCGGAGTGTCTGGCAGTGACTCATATACTGCATCGCCTTTTCCCCGGTCTTCATCTGTATTGTTGTCAGCTGCTGCATGAGTCTGCTTTGTGTCACGCTATCGTTTGCTTGGTAGAGACACTTGAGGTGATGCCATGCGATTTCCGCGGAGTTTCCATAGCCCCGATACGTTCTGATGCTTTGCTGTTCTTGTGGTGACAGGTTCCGCAGGAGAACTGTGTACGCCAGCAACGACTGAGAAGTAAATATTTATGGCTCCTTTGCAGTGCCATTGCTTGGAAATGGCAGGGACCCGTTGAAGTATCCCAAGAGGTGCGCAGCCTCCATCAGTAGCTCGAACTCAAAGCTCAAGGTAAAGAAGTCGTGTCTGTTGAACGGTGAGGATGTCAGCAGTTTGATGACGTATGAAAACTGCGCCTGGAGACTCAGTATCTCGTTTGGTGTCTGTTGTGATGCAGCTGCTGTTGGTTGGGCGTGGGGCAGCATGAACTC